GAAAAACAATCCTACTTTAAAGAATCAAACTGCGACAAACAAACAGGACATAGAATTAAAAGGAAAACTCAATGATGTAATTTCGGAGAACAATTTTTCTTATTATCGAAAGTAATGTGTGATATTAAGTGCATAATTTTAAAGGAAGTTTAAGCCATGTGTGAATTTATTTATTATGATCCATTTCTCTGATAAATAGCGCTTGGCAATGTGTGTACTGTCCAGACATGTCCAGATCGTGTGTAAAATAATTTATTGATGTCCAGGTGTAATCCAAATTTTTGCAATCCCATCTGTGGGTGCCGGGATACTATAGCGGTTACAAGGTGTGACACGATAAATAGACCGCAGAGGTAGGCAATATAAAAGGTTCTTCTATCATAACACACTTGTTTCCAGTCGGCCCACGCTGCACGTCATTAAGCGGCGAGAGAAATCACGTCGGCGAAGGAGAAGTCCACCAAGTCGATGTGACAGACTTACCTAGTCTAAATGCCATTAACGTAGATGCAACAATCCTACTTTCCAAATATATCGTAAAAAAAAAAACATAGTCATTACAACACCATAATTAACATACACTTTAAAACAAATTACGTTAGAAATATATATGAGTAATGGACAGTAATGACTCAAAAATTACCTGACCACAACGTTTCGTTTATAAAAAGTTTGTCAAAATGCCAAAACACTATATATAGTAAGTAAGAAATTGATAAATCATTCATTAAAATTAAATAGGGTGGATAAACAACATTTGTGCATATAAATGAGTTAATCGACCACAAAGTTTCTTCTACAAAAATTTTGTCAAAACCCCCTTTTTGCCCAACAAGAAATTCTTAACTACATTTAAGATTAATCCAAACTAAAGATTAAAAATAACGTAATTGTATATACTCAGTTGTCATAACTTTTAACAAATAGCCATACCACACGTATCTTCTACAAAAATTTACACTTAATTCAAACAAAGGCTTAGCCACTACGTATAAAAGGACAAATTAGTCCTTATCCTTAAGTAGCGCAGCTTTGTCACATTATCTCGTGCCGTAAATATCACTGAACGAATGAAATTTTCTGCGAATTTCTACTACCTACGCAAAATTTTAAGCGTTTATTACAATTTTTAATGTTAAAAATGAAATTTCCTACTCGAAAATTGAGGTCCTGCTGCTCTTTCCGTAGTTTAAAATTAGCGGAAACTATTATAAAAAATTAAGGAAGGAAATAGTTGATGGTATTCGTTCAATGTAAAACATATATGTATATAAATATCGATTTGCCTCTTAATGCTATACAATTAGCGTTCGATGTATTAATGTAAAGGTCCTTTTTACTGTAAATGCGTATTTAATTCGTTCATTTACTTCCTTAATATTGACACGCTGTAATTTATATCTATTTAAGTGTAAAGTAACTGTTCGGTTTGTCTTAAGTAAATGAAGGATTGCCAATTATTTTAATGCCCATACACATATACCATAAAATGTGTGTCGGCGCCAATGCTTGTACCGTCCCGCTCCCCTCTGACATAGCCTTAGGACACGCAAAACTAGTGCGACTCAACAGCGACTTCCTGACGTTTCGAAAAGGATCCAAACGGCGCTATGTGATGTTCATACTGTGAAGGACCTCATGTTACGAAATTATCCCCTTCGGGAACGTCAATCGTACAAAAATCGGGATAATTATCACATATGCACCACTTCGCCTTGGTAGAACGCACATCAGACAAAGACAGAAACACGTAGGTGTTCAAGCTGTAATTTTATAACTTATTGGCAGAGTCAGCGTAACAGAGCATGATTGTCTCATACTTCGTTAATTTAAAAATGCTTTTAACTTCGAGATATCGTGGTTAAAACACCACTTTCAAAACAAACAATTAATTCTTTTACATGAAGCTACTAACCAGCAACTAGAATATACCGTACGTTATTCTGACGAAAAACATCTGGCCCCACAAAGAATGCAACCAATATTTACATAATACAGAGTGTGATCTACAGATTGTCACCGTAATAAAATCGTCATCTACCCATCTCCAGTTAAATTCAATAAAAAATTACAGATACTAGAAAAAAGTATTAACTACGTCGATTATCGGATAACCGCAAACTCAGCATTAGCTGTTCCGTCATTATACGGTACCCAGCCGGATCCTAAAAATAGCGCCTGATCCAAGACGGATGCCCGGCCCATCTCCAGTTAATATTAATCAATTTCATTGAGCTGCCTTTTCTACATCTAAATATATAATTTTTACGTGTATATTATATGCCTATTATATACATAAGTAGTGAATAAAATATGATGTGCAAAGATTTATCATTACGAATTGTGTTTAAAGATGTACCAAAAGACAAACATGTGTCATTAGCGGACAGGGGTCATTTAAATACACGTTTGTGTCAAGAAAGTGTAATTTAAAGCACCCANTTACTTACAGTTTCATGATTTGTTGTTAGCTTATCCTTTTTTGTTTTTTTACTTGATGACATTCCTGCCCGAAGAATATGTAAATTAGAGAGTTTATTGTAAGAGTTTCGCATTAATGTTGCTAATAGAAAACAAAGAAAATCACTTTACATTTACACTTGCAATATAAATTGACTAGGTTATGATCAAAGAGGTTATGTTATTTTCCAGGTTCAAAAACAATGCCCAAGAAATTAATTTTTACGTGTATATTATATGCCTATTATATACATAAGTAGTGAATAAAATATGATGTGCAAAGATTTATCATTACGAATTGTGTTTAAAGATGTACCAAAAGACAAACATGTGTCATTAGCGGACAGGGGTCATTTAAATACACGTTTGTGTCAAGAAAGTGTAATTTAAAGCACCCACCTTGCAAGATAACTGTCACTTAAGAACAGGCCAACAATACAAAATGATAAAATTACGTTCGTCCCTTTGTCCATTTCGAAAACAGGAGTGTGATATAAAGCCACAATTTACAGTCACCTTTACAAGCGAAAATAAAGGAGGTGACCAGAAATTTTACCTGCGAAGAACCGCTGATACTTCCGACCCATCCCACAGATCACTAAACTAAATGACTTTTGAATTTGTTAAAACTCGAAAACTCCTTTATTCTGTATATAGGTAGAACGAAATTAACACAAGCCCGTTAATACTGAATTTAATTATTTTCATTCAAAATAAAATTCGGAAACGTGCCGATAAAAAAGGCTCTCCGAGATTACTGCACTCGCATTTACAACCTATGTTTTGGCTATGACCTTTGACTTTCCGCAACATTAAATAAGCGGGGTGTCCCATAATTACCATCAAGTGGAAGTTTACCTAAATATATACAAAAATACACTGATTACTTATCCGCAAATAGAAATTTATTTGGAACTGTTGTTTTCGAAATAATGATACTAAATTGTAACAAACTTTTTTCACTATCAGTTCCTTAATTCTATATACTTCATTTAAGTTTTCATTTCGTCATGTATATTTTCTTCAAAAATTTAAATGTCCTGCTTTCAAAATCCCTTTGTGTAATTACTTGAATAACAATACACAACGGGTAATTCTAGGCTTCCCTAATTGCTTTGCAAGCAGCAAACAAAAAAGCTTCGAATTATTCTAAAGCTTTAAGTATTAAAACACACTTTACAGCAATTGTATATATTGTACCTTTATAATAAGGATTTACCGAAAACTTAAAATAAATCTAAAGTTGCAAGATATTGTATATTTTGTAACTTTACCTTGTGTATCCTTTTAATTTATGATTCCTTTACAATAGACAACAGATTCCCTTAATGTCTTTACAAGCGGCAAACCGAAAAAGCTCCGAATTATTCTAGAGCTTTAAGTATTAAAACAAAAGTTATATGTTGTACCTTTATAATAAGGATTTATCGAAAACTTAAAATAAATCTAACGTTAAAGCCGTCTCCTGCGTGACAACAAAACGATTTAATCTATGCATGGCCGTATTCTAGACCGATCCAATAGATGCTATCGTACATGACGGATATTTGTAATCCTAATCAGATCAGTGGTTATCTCATCTTATTCAGACACTTCCTAGGGGTGAAAATGTATTGTTATCAACTTAGCTAAATGTCACCATAAATTACTCTAAAACTTGAAGGAACAAGTAACCAAAACGCTGATCAAAAGTCTAAGATAACAAATACGTATTACGGATAATTTAATAAAATATATATCTGCGCTCAACGCTCACGTAAACGGGGTAATCCCCGGCTTAATAAATGAAAATTTTAACTAATATTCACAGCCGATATTATATATTAACTAATGTATCAATCAATATTAGCCCCCGAAAATATAACTAAAATTTTAAACGTGTCAATATGCTTTGGTCGCGATAATTACGGATGTCGACCCGCAGAATGATGAGGGTAGGTAATCTTATCTCTGTTATCAGTTTCGGTGTGGTAAATTAATTAAAGGGCTTGTGACACCATTAGTCACTCTACTTTCATCTATCCTGCTCTTCATCTCGCAAAACTGATTTACTGTTAAAATTATTTTAAATATGCCTCGTTGTCGACGTCACCCTATCTATAATACCTGGGGTAACATCTTTTCACGACCCATTTTTATTTTTCAAATTTGTACGATAATTTATTAAATATTGACATTTTAGGAAATCGCTAATTATCTATCACAATTACCTAAAAACCATTTACTTTTTCGGTTGCTTTTTACATATTTATAAATATTCTTTGCTTTTATAATTACCATCTTAATTAGAAATAATATTAATTTAATTATCATGAAAAAACAGAAATGATCATTTCTTTTTAGGTAATTTTTTATTTTTTATTTAAGCAATTTTAGATCACGTTAGTAAGTAAAAAAAAAAGGGAATCAAAACTCAAAATCAAAGACTTAATATGCGAAATAAAAAATTCCTACATAATGGTAAATTTTGTATATTTGTATGGCAGGTATGTGGACAGATTTTTAATAAAACACTAAAATTATACAATATTTTATTGTTCTTAAGAAAACGAAGGCATCATACAAAAAATGTATTTCAGTTTTTAATTTCAATATTTAATAACTTAAAAACATCGTCAACTGATAATAAATTTTGATCCACTTTAACAATCTTTTGTCTAGATTTCGAACCCTAAAAATAAATACCTCAAATATTTAATTTACATATATGAATTTTGTAATATTTACTCTATCAAGTGATAAGTCGCTCTTTCTTAGTCCTAATACTTTGGATAAATATTTTATTAATTCAGTATTAGCTTCGCCATCTACTGGAGGAGCGTTGATTTGAATACCTACGCCCTCTTCTGAAATTTCTACAAACACCACATTACACTTCATTGTAAATATGTAATTTTATTACAATCATTTTATTTTTACCTGTTATAGCATTTTGTTTTGCTCCAGGTTTCGCCAATACTTTAATAATTACGCATTTTGATTTATCCAAAGTAATTGCAGAACAACTTGACTTAAAAAAAGTATAGGTATATTAGAGACGATGTTTGAAGAAATTCGAACTTCACGTAAACAAAGCCATTATTTGTATAATTTTCCCAAACAATACACTTTGATAAATTATGTTTAATGAATTATTAAAAACACGGTCAGTTTTGTTTCAAATTTCAGAAAAAAAACGCGCCTTGATATGATACAAAGGAATAATATGAAACTTTATTGTTGCCTAGTATGTCATGACTTTGTTTCAATTTTATTAAATAATAACAAAAAATTCATCCGCAAACGTATAAAAACTGGAGAAAATTTATTATTAAACTATAAAACATACAACTTCTGGCAAGTACAGATAATAAGAGTAAGTTCTTTTAGTTTTCATTTTTTTTTTACTTACAGTTTCATGATTTGTTGTTAGCTTATCCTTTTTTGTTTTTTTACTTGATGACATTCCTGCCCGAAGAATATGTAAATTAGAGAGTTTATTGTAAGAGTTTCGCATTAATGTTGCTAATAGAAAACAAAGAAAATCACTTTACATTTACACTTGCAATATAAATTGACTAGGTTATGATCAAAGAGGTTATGTTATTTTCCAGGTTCAAAAACAATGCCCAAGAAATTTCAAGGAGAAAATAGCAAAGCATCTGCTGCACGTGCAAGAAAAACTGCCAGTAAAGAAGCTGAAACAGCTAAAAAGCAAAAGGATTTAGAAGACGCTTATTGGAAGGAAGATGACAAACATATCCTTCGTAAACAGCAAAGGAAGGTAAATGAAAGTTTACTATTTTTATATTTTATTTATATTCGACTGCAATAGGAAGAGCAAGAACGCAGAAAACAAGAACAATTAGAAAAGAAAGCTGAAAAGAAGGCATTATTGGAGAAAGAACAAGCATCTCTAAGTAAAATTAGTGCCAAAGTTATTCCACCTTCTAAAATTACTAGAGCACAAATTTCTGAGAAAATATCACAGCCTCAACCACTAAAGAAAGAAAAGGAGAAGATCGATACACATTTAGACGTTCCTCTAGAAGAAAACATCAACAGATTAACTATAGATGGTGAAGAAGCTAGAACTATTGATGAAGCTATAAAAGTTTTGGGGTAAGATTCAAATTGCAAAAGGTTATTCAAATTTTACGTTATAAAACTTTATTTCAGAGGAAAAGACGACGCTGATAAACATCCAGAGAAACGTATGAAGGCTGCATACAATGCATTTGAAGAAAGAAGATTAAAAGAACTTAAGGATGAAAATCCAACACTACGCCTATCACAACTAAAACAACTTGTATTCAAAGAATGGCAGAAATCTCCTGAAAATCCTTTGAATAAAGCCTAGTCAAAACATTACATTTGTAATGTTACGTATATAAAATTCATGTAGTTATATTGACTATAATATATGCATTATTCAACTAATAAAAGGTTTTTCTAACTTAATGGCTCTTTTGTATAGCTAAAAAAACACCAATTTTATCTATATATTTATTAAAAATAATATTTGAAACATGTTTGTGCAAATCAGTATAGCTCAAATAAATATTAAAAATATTTTAAAGAAAATATAAATACTTAGTTCTTCCCTAATAACATTATAATATTTCTTTAAAAATAGGTAACATTCGCATTATACAATACCTCAGAGAAATTACAGTTATCAGTTGATGTATACATTAAGTGAGTTTTCCCCATACAAAAAAATGAGAAATTTACTCCTATTTTTAAATAAGTATTTTATAAAAATTGGTAAAATACTATCTACATTACTATAATGCATCAGTTGGATTTTTCTGGACGACTCCCTGATTTTCACAAATCTTTTTCGAAATCTGACTCAGTTTTGAAAAATAATCCAAGTGTTTTCCTGAACTTACAGCCTTCAAATTTGACGCAGCTCGTTCATTTGCCTAAAAAAACAATAAACGTAAAATTCTTATGTCTACTCAAGAATTAACATAAAAATCTATGAATTCCTAAAATGCTAAAATTTCAAAATACCAGTCAAAAGCAAACAATAGTTTTGATGAATGGGATAACTAAATGTTAAACTTTCCACCGCATTTTATTAAACTGTGATAACGTTTTACACAGTGTAATAACAATTATCGCAGCTCATTTATTTCTTGCATTGATTATAAATGTTCAGCAACTTAAGACAATTCAATAAACTCTCCTTTTCATTTTACGTACTTCAAAAATCCACGTTTGGGCTAAAAGTTTTTCAAAATCAGCACTTTCCAAATTCTTACTAGCTGAATAAGAAGCTCTGGAGATAGCCGCAGTACTTGTATAAATATCAATAGCAGCATTGGCAAGCCTATTTAAAATAAATTGCTCATTTACGATCCCTTTTCCGTATTTAATTAACGTCGACTCTACAGTTTGTCCAAATAAGTCCAAATTCTAAAATCAACACAAATTCATCAAAACAGAAAATATACAAATAAACAAACGCTAACTTTGGCAATAACTGACGCAGATGAAATTAAATCTTTATGTACTAAATGGTCCATGGATGGTGGAGAGCTTAAACCAACAGTTCTTACTACCCTTTTTGAGGCTTCTCCAAAAATAAGACCTAAATTAGCTGTGGGGTTCTTAAAAGCATTCTGTAGTTCTTTTAAGTGGGCTCCAGCATATTGTATTCCTTTAAATTAAATTATTAATTCTTTATTTATATTTACTCCTTCAAATTAAATTCTATAAAAAAATTCAGTAAAACAAAAATAATCTATTAATAAAACAGTACCTGTCAATGCTACAAAAAGCCTAAGAATATCGTTAGTTCCTTCAAATATTCTAAAGATTCTTAAGTCTCTCATGATACGTTCCAAACCAGTGTCTTTCATATACCCCATTCCACCCATAATTTGAATTGATTCATCACACACATTCCAAGCAGCTTCTGAAGCAAAACACTGCAAAAAAAATGTTTCTTTTTTTAATCAACTTTACATAAACCAAAAATTAAATTTAAAAGACCTTTGAGATTGCTGCTTCTAAGTGATAATGCTTAGAACCAGAATCCATGTTTCCAGCAATTAAATAAGCTACTGATTCAGTGACATATTGGAGTAAGGCCATCCTAGCAATTTTTTCTTGTATTGCACCAAAAGAATCAATTTTTTTTCCAAACTGAACTCTGTTTGTAGCAAATTCCACAGCTTTTTTCATACACGTTTTCATTGTTCCTGCTAGAGTTGCAGCCATGCCAAAGCGGCCGTTGTTTAAGATGTTCATAGCTACTTTAAAACCATTCCCAACACCACCCAAAACATTTTCAACTGGCACTGGCACATTATCAAAGTAAACCTAATTTTTAAAACAGAAGAATTCTTTTACAAAAAGCACCATATAATAAATATTATTAATATTAAGTTAAAAAGTAAATTAAAGAGAATTAATAATTAGATTGTATTGTTTTAATAATTACTTCCTAATAAGAAAAATCTGGATACCTCAGCAGTGTTGGAGCATTTAATTCCCATTTTTCTTTCTGGAGGTCCACTAGTAACACCACCAAAAGACCTCTCTACAATAAAAGCAGTCACTTTGTCTACAGTCTGTCCAGTTTTAGGATCCTGTATCGGAGTTTGAGCAAATACTGTCATTATTTCTGCAATTCCACCATTACTAATCCAAATTTTAGATCCATTTAAAATATAATGCTTTCCATCTGGGGAAAGAGTGGCACGTGTCCTAAATTAAAAATGAAATTACTTTAGCAATCTTTATAAACTTACACATCAATATAAACTAATTAATATCAGAGCTATAATAAGGGGGCATCAATAAACCAAATAACTTTTTTTAGGATAGGTAGGGAGACTTTTATGTTATATGGTGTTACACCAGGGAAGGGGTAAGATGACACAAAATAATTGGGAGAGGGACCAACTATCTACATGACATTATATGTTAGGGAAAATTAAAATATATATATATGGAAAACACGTTACATGATTTATAGAGCCCCTTACTAAAGTATTAAGTTTTTTGGCCTTACTTAATAGATCCTGCATCAGAACCAGATGAGGGTTCTGTAAGACAAAATGCAGCTATATCTTTAGAAGTTACTCTAGTTAAGTATTTTTCTTTTTGTTCTGGAGTGCCATACAACAATATCCCCTTCCATCCAATTGATTGATGTGCCCCAAGGAAGATACCAACACCTATAATTTAAAAAATTACTTTCTTATAAAGCTTTTGATGTACAATATTTTACTTATAAAAAGTTTAAAATACTAAACTCAATTGATTTGTCTTATAAATTCAATTATAATCTTTAGCAAAACAGTTTTATAGTGTTACTCTTTGAGAATGGTTTAACAACTGAAACATTTTTATAAGAGCTTTTAAAATGAATTTGTAAAGCAAACCACCTGCTTTTTATCATTTTAAAAATGTTTCACCAACTGTAATCCCAACCACTATTTCAATTAAACATACCTAAATCATATTTCCCGACTACTTCACCAAATCTGGCATACTGTGTATTGTTTAAACCTAAACCACCTAGTTCAATAGGTGCTTGAAGTCCAAAGACTCCAAGTTCCCAAAAACCTTTAACTACATTATCTGGCACCTTCTCCTCTGCATCATTTTTAAATGGATCATTAACTTCCTATAATTAAAATAATTATTTAGAATGCTTCTTTGTAAATAATTGATAACATTCTTATTCACTAACTTCAAAATATCTTTCCACAGGGTCCATCAGCATATGCAATGTCTCTCTTTGCTCCTCTGTTAATACATCTGGAAATGGGAATGCTTCCTTGCTTTCAAGTTGCCCTCGAAACATATTCATTGTAAAAGAAAAATTGTGTTCAGTTGGTTTTTCTGCAGACTTTTCTGTTTTCTGAATAACTTTCGGTTCAGCTGCTGTTGCAAAACATCTAAAAAATGAATTTGAAGTCAAATCCAAAATTAGATAGAAATGATTATACTCACTGTTGTAGAGCAATTTTTTGAAAATTTATCCTGTTGTATTTCAGCAGAGAAACTGTGACAGGGCGAAACATTTTGATCTGTTTAACGATTCTAAAATAAGTTTTACAATAAAATTTAGATTAATTTTAATCCCCAAATATTGTGATACTGAACTGCTTTGGAAACGATTAACGCTTACTTTGTGAAACTGTAATTGTAGACCTTGTTTATACCTTGTTGTAGACTTTGATTATTTTTTAGGTGATATGAACTTTGTACTTTGAAATGAGCAGATTGTTATTAATAGTAGTATATGTTGTATACGTAAAGAGATGGTAAAACTTTAAAAATTAATTAAAATATCATAAATAAACAAAACCCAGAAAAAACAGTTATGAAAAATAACTGTAAAAGGATATTCGGCAACACTATAAATACAATTGAACTAAACTCAAGCCAATACACATTAATAATTTAAAATACAAAAATTAAAGTAGTATAATTTTCTTTTATGGATGTATTTTCATTTTGCATAAAAAGCATAATTTTCTAATTGAATTTTATCTAGAAATTTAATTTTTCTTAATACTGTAAATTTTGAATTAAAAAGTGTTTCTATGAAATCTGTTTCCGGTACGTCAGCACTCCCACCCTTATAGGAAAAATGTTGCGGTCATGCTCGTTCAGTCTGTTTCCTTGTCTCGCCGGCCCTCGTTCTTTCGAACTGATCAGTCGCCGAGTACGGTTGCTGGATACTTCGTGGTTTTGAATTTGTTTTAAAGTTTAGTGTTTGTTTTAACCAGTTTAAAAACTTTATAAAGTAAGTAATTTAACCATTTGCATAATTTTCTTTAAATATATCAAGCTGTTTTCTAAGAAAACCGGCAGTCTTCGGTACTCACCACGTGCCCATCATGTCCGCCATATGCTATGAATATGCATGCATGAGCTAATCGACGGCATTAATAATCATTTCACTTCTGCAAAATCGGCATTATTTGTATTTTAATCGTTGCTTTTTTTTAATTTTCAGCTTAATAAAATGGGTAAAGAAAAGATTCATATAAACATCGTGGTTATCGGCCACGTAGACTCCGGTAAATCTACTACTACCGGACATCTCATCTACAAATGTGGTGGTATCGACAAGCGTACCATCGAAAAATTCGAAAAAGAAGCCCAAGAAATGGGCAAAGGTTCTTTCAAATACGCCTGGGTATTGGACAAGTTGAAGGCAGAACGTGAACGTGGTATCACAATTGATATCGCCTTGTGGAAGTTCGAAACTTCGAAATACTACGTAACCATTATCGACGCTCCTGGACACAGAGATTTCATCAAAAACATGATCACAGGAACATCTCAAGCTGATTGTGCTGTACTTATAGTTGCAGCTGGTACTGGTGAATTTGAAGCTGGTATTTCTAAAAACGGTCAAACACGTGAACATGCATTATTGGCCTTCACTCTTGGTGTAAGACAACTTATTGTTGGAGTCAATAAAATGGACTCCACTGAACCTCCCTATAGCGAAAGCCGATTTGAGGAAATCAAGAAAGAAGTATCCTCCTACATCAAGAAAATTGGTTATAATCCTACTGCTGTAGTCTTCGTACCAATCTCTGGTTGGCATGGTGACAACATGTTGGAACCCTCTGAAAAAATGCCATGGTTCAAGGGATGGAGTATTGAACGTAAAGAAGGCAAAGCCGAAGGAAAGACTCTCATTGATGCTTTAGATGCCATTTTACCCCCTAGCAGACCAACTGAGAAACCACTACGTCTACCACTTCAGGTATGTTTTTTGGAGAATATTCATTCATCTTTTAATAATTTTTTATATGCAATATTTCAATTCACTTTTTTTAAATTCACTGTTATCATTACATATTCTTAACAAACAACACTTTATCTAATAAAACATATGCATAAGTAATTGTAGCTTTGTAAACAGCAGGTCATTTCAATATTGATAAATAGATCTTTTAAGCTAAGTTGTTTCTTACATTTTCTGTTTTGTTTCTTTAGGATGTTTACAAAATTGGTGGTATTGGAACAGTACCAGTTGGCCGTGTGGAAACTGGAGTGCTTAAACCTGGTATGGTGGTCGTTTTCGCCCCCGCAAATATTACTACTGAAGTAAAATCAGTAGAAATGCATCATGAAGCCCTCCAGGAAGCCGTGCCTGGCGACAACGTAGGTTTCAATGTAAAGAACGTGTCTGTAAAAGAACTTCGCCGTGGATACGTAGCAGGTGACTCAAAGAACAACCCACCTAGAGGAGCAGCTGACTTTACCGCCCAAGTTATTGTTCTCAACCATCCTGGTCAAATTTCTAGCGGCTACACCCCTGTCCTCGATTGTCACACCGCCCATATTGCTTGCAAATTCGCTGAAATCAAAGAGAAAGTAGATCGTCGTACAGGAAAAACAACTGAGGAGAATCCAAAGGCCATCAAATCTGGAGATGCTGCCATCATCAACTTGGTTCCTACTAAACCCATGTGTGTTGAATCTTTCCAGGAATTCCCTCCCCTTGGTCGTTTTGCTGTCCGAGACATGAGGCAGACAGTTGCTGTAGGAGTCATCAAAAGTGTCAACTTTAAAGATCCTAGCTCCGGCAAAGTAACGAAAGCTGCCGAAAAAGCTCAAAAGAAGAAGTAACCGCTTCCCAAGTTTAGAATTTCACGCATTTTATTATTATTATTCCATAATATTTCTACATGTTAAATGTATTTTCCACTTCTAGGACAGGGAATATTATTTTAAAAATTAAATTAATAGGATGACCATGATAAGTTTGTGAATAAACAAATTTTCAAATAAACTCCTTTTGTAATCTTCTCAATTGTTTTATTTCCAATAAAAAACTATATATTAAAATTAAACAGCCAGTATGATAAAGATGAAGTATACATTTAAAATAAACTACATTTCTTAAAACTGTAGTTGGAATTAAAAAAATGCGGCTGTAATTACGTTCGCTTTAATTTTGGGATTACTGTAATTATCGGCAGTTAAAGTCGGTAAAAAATTATAATTTCATAGAAGTATTAAAATAATAGTGTGTGGGTGATACAAGGAAACGTAAGTATATGACCCAAAGGTCAGAGAAATTTATGAGCAAATTTTACTTAAATTATTATTAACTATCGTGCTATATTTAAAGTGCATTTAATTAAAATCAATATTCACAAATTTTTGACCACACGTTTCATAAATAATGTTTTATAAAAATAGTATAATACATTATAGCTCTAAAATACAAATATTTTCTACTTTATAAAGAAGTATGTAATAGAGCAGTAAATATTAGAATAGTATATATCATTAAATAAATAAGTCATTTGTGATATNTTACTCACTTATTTTTAATTTTTATTATGTTAATATTTCACACGAATGCACATGATATTTTTCATAATGAAATAGTATTTACCTACACACACAGGCATCCATAAACACACATAAGTTATACATTAGTGTGCACAGTTCACAGTTGTTTTGTCTGTGGTTCACTGTGGTTACAGTATTTTAATTTATATTCGATATGATCTGACTATTATAATGTTTAAAACGCTTAAAAATGAAACTCTTAAGGAATAAATTTTAATTCTCATAAATATATGTAATGTATTTTGTAAATAAAAACACCGGTGTGTTCCTTCTTGGACGTAAAATAGTAGCTATAATATCAATGTGTTCTTTGTGTTATTTAAAATGACTCCAATGATTTATACACTGTATGGATTTGCAATATTCTTCTTTGTATTTTGGTGCGGAATCTGGATTCTTCATTTGGTAGCAATTTTGTACGGGTAATTTGAGAAATATTGTAAAAATTGTTTACCACTCTAACCTTAAATTTTGTGATTTTTAATATTTAATTATAATTTTAGCAAGTACAAACTACACAACAAGGTTTCTCTTATACCTGGAGATGTACCCTATCCAGGGGTATCTATTATTAAACCTTTAATGGGAGTTGATCCTAATTTATTTTCTAATTTAGAAACATTTTTTACAATGTCATACCCAAAGGTCAGTAGGTATTATTTCATTGCCCTCATATATTTAATTTAGTATGTTCCTGTTTCAGTATGAACTATTATTTTGTATAGAAGATGATACAGATCCTGCAATTATGTTGGTTAACAGCTTAATGGAAAAGTATCCTAGTATTGATACACGACTGTTTCTTGGTGGTTCAGATGTGGGAGTCAACCCAAAAATAAATAACATGAATAAAGCATATGAAGCTGCTGCTTATGACTTTATTTTAGTTTCTGATAGTGGTATAAGAAGTAGGAAATAATCCTCATATTTATCAAAAATGAATTAGCAAGTAAAAGTTATATTTTAGTGAAAGAAGACACCTTATTAGACATGATGAACTGTATGAAAGAGAATGTGGCTTTGGTGCATCAAATGCCTTTTACATGCGATAGAGAAGGGTTTGCAGCAACATTAGAAAAAATCTATTTTGGAACTGCTTTAGCAAGGAATTATCTTTTTGCTGATTTCCTTTGTATAAATTGTCACACTGGCATGTCAACGCTTTTAAGGAAGTCTGTATTAGATGAAGTTGGTGGTATGAAGGCATTTGGCTGCTATTTAGCTGAAGATTTTTTCTTAGCAAAAACTTTCCTTGATAAGGGATGGAAAATACGTATTAGTAGTCAACCAGCTATGCAAAATTGTGGTGTCTGTGAAGTTAATAATTTTCAAGCCCGCCTCACAAGGTGGTAACATCTCCTTATTATATTAAGCAAATTATAATTCTAAAAAACATTTTAGATGGGCAAAATTGAGAGTTGCCATGTTACCTCTTATAATACTATTAGAACCTTTATCTGAATGTATGGTCATTGGAGCCTCTGCAGCTTGGGCTGCTGGATTTCTTTTCCAGTGGGATTCATTGGCTTTCTATTTAGTACATGTTCTAGTATGGTTTATTTGTGATTGGATACTATTATCCATTGTGCAGGTGATGCAAAATATTTCTTTTCTTTTCGTTAAAAGTTATTAATAAAATTCATTTGCTACTTTATATGATAAAGGCTAAATTTCTGTTATTTTTTCTTTAGAATGGTCTGCTGCCCTTTAATAAATTCGATTTTGTCATCGGATGGTTATTTCGAGAATGTTCTGGACCTTACCTGTTCCTTCACGCTCTTTTCGATCCCGCAATAAAGTGGAGAACGAGAGTATATAAATTATCTTGGGGCGGCGTTGCGCAAGAGGTTAAACCACGAATTAAATTTTAAATTTAATTACTGCAGTTGATGATTGTATAGTTGTTTTCAGTTTTGCTTTCAAAACTACTATAAAACTATGGCAAAACCAAAGTTTTTACATCTAAAGTGAGCAGCGTGCTTCTTTAATGCTTTAAATAACTCAGTAGAACCCCGTTATAACGCCAGATTATTTATTTTCTTTTTGCTTGCTTTATGCAAAAAAAAATTAGTGTATTATTTTGTAGATACATTTTTTAAACTTAATATTTTATATGCGCCTTATTGTTTGTGTGTTTTATGCACAAATAGTATTTTAATTTAGTAAAAGCAAGAAAGACATGCTATTACATATCGTTTTAGTTTATTCTTACTTCTACTTAATTTATAATCGTGTGTGATAATACATTTACTCATTTTCTTACCAGCCAAGTAACTTCTTTAAAGTAAAAGTGATATATTTATTTGCCTTCTTTATCTTTACTATTTATTTAACTATATTTTGATAATGTTGTAGTAGTGCACTAAAGACAGTTATGTATTTTCTTTTCAATGCTTAATCGACTTTTTTTTCTCATTTATATTGATAATTTTTACATTCCATCCACTTAATGTAACCGTGTGATCTGTAATTTTGTTTATATTTTCTTATTGAATCTGTAAATAGTCATATGTGTAGATTTAATTAGATTTATTTATATATATTAAGTTTTCCGAGCACGAATTTTAATAAGTAGCTTTCGTAGCAATTTAAAGAAAATGCTTTTATCATTGGTTTAGAGAACAATACTCTTTCGTGTGTCCTTTTGGAGCATAGTAATATTTTCTAAACGTATAGATCTGAAACCAGTTACTCACTTATTTTTAATTTTTATTATGTTAATATTTCACACGAATGCACATGATATTTTTTTATTGCTCAAGTACTTAAAACGACGAATCTACGTGAAGATCTGCTTTTCAATACCTCGTTTCATTTTATTTAATATTTTGTTTTGTATTTATTTACATATTGTACTTACACCCCAGATAATATTTTTGTATGTCCACTTATTTATCTTTAAATGAATTTGTACTTGTTATAGCGAGGTTCGACTGTAACCCACCATTAATAATTAATTTATATATATTTATTATGATTAAACTGCCAGTAAAGAAGCTGA